GTAACCATATCCAGTCATGGTCGGACTTAGCCAATGCCTTTGTGAAACAATACCAATATAATCTCGACGGGGCTCCAAACCGCATACAGTTGCAAGGCTTATCTCAAGAGGAAAATGAGTCTTTCAGAGGATATGCTCAGCGATGGAGAGAGGTAGTTGCTCGGGTTCAACCATCGCTCTTAGACAGAGAATTGGTTGTGTTCATAGATTCGTTGCAAATCCTATATTTGGAAAAAATTATAGGCAATAGGACATCCAACTTCTCTGACTTGGTATCAGTAGGAGAACGCATTTAGAGCCATCTCAAGAGTGGAAAGATCCAAGACGCCTCAAGCATCCCAGCTAGTGAAAGTGAATTAGTTGTCAGCTCCCAAAAGGAAGAAGAGGATGAAATCAATACAATATGGGACACTCCACAAGCTCCATCACCAGTACCTTATCCTCTGTACCCAAGCATATCAAATGTTCAAAGTCAGCAATCCTATGGATCTACCTGTGTGACTTCGGTCTCTCCACATGGTTAATATCCTCCTGTCAATAGAGAACCCCTTTATCAACAATGGACTACACAACAGCATCCTCTGTAACGGCAACGTTATTATAACCAAAGACCAAAAAGACATGTTGATCCATTACCAATTCCATACAATCATGTGCTACCACGTTTGATTGGTAGTGGACTGATAGTGCCAAAGGGCTTGGATCCTGTGGTTCTGTCATACCCCAAATTTGTCATACCTATTCATACTTTTCATCTGTGCATCTACCCACTAATTGTCATTCAGAGAATCTAGAAATATGTTGTTTTCGCTTTCATTTTAAGTCCAAGCTTCATTCAATGGTATCCAGGCCAGGGTGCGTGATTCAAGTGACGTATGTCTGAAGCCTCAGTCATGGTTTTGTGTCATATTCAGGGTAGTTATGTTTAAGTCGAGGTGTCAGGTCAAGTGTGGTGGAGGTTCAGTAGAATTTGACTTGATTTTGGTCAAAGTAAAATTAATTCAGTTACAAGTATGTGCATCAAGTTGTCAGGACTATGGAAAATTCAAGGCATTTTCTGGCTTAAGGATTTTCATATTAAAGGCTTCGGTTTACTCAAGTGTCCAGGTTCAGATTTATTTTATTGATTCAAGGCTCTAGCCCGTTCCCAATCTAGGATAACACAAGATCAATTCATGGTGAATTCTATTTAAGGACTAATTCAAAGTTTTGTCCATTTTAAATAAAATTCAAGAATATTTTCAGAATACGAAACATGGAGTTGATACGGAGGTGTGAAGTTCAAGTCATCATTGTTTTTTAATCTAGAACTTGAAGAGTTGCGGGATCAATTCAAGAATAATATAAGTCGATTTACAAAGATTGCTTGAAGAAATAACTAAAGGGTGGCAATAGTACATTTCAAGGCCCATTATCATTTTCACAAAAAAAGAGTTCACATTTATGCATCAAAGTTCATCTATGTACAAAATAAAAAGGCTATCATTACTCAAGCCCATTTTAAAGAATCCCATGTACATTTACTAAATTAGAGTCTATTACATGAAAAGAAAGCAAAAAATAATAATAATAAAAATTGTCAAAACTTAGTCCCAACCTGGCCAAACGAAATTGATACACACAGCCAACAATAATCACAAATGAGGACGCATAAAATCAGACCATTCTGCAGCAGCCACAAAATCCGAACCATTCCACCAATTCAAGTCATACGTATAACATGATGAGCAGCTACACATAATCAAAAACCAATTCCACAGTGTTCAAGTCATACGTATACCTTTGATTCAAAACTACAACAACAACAGCCTTTGCTTCAAACCTAAATCCTAAAAACATATAAAACTTCAAAACCAACATCGTGAATTCATAACAACAACGAGAGAAATCCGAGATGAAAAAGGAGTTTGAATCAGAGCGAAATTGAGATCAAAATAGGGGAAAGTAGAAACCTGAAATTGGAACAACATGGGGGGAGATGGTTCGAAGAATGCCGCAATTTCGATTAAGAAGGTTGGAGCGAGACGCGTTTTATGACCCGAGTTCTTCGTTTGAGATTTCATTCTGTTTGTAAAGAGATTGGATAATTTGTGCTTAGGAAATTTTACCTAATACCCCTGCATTTATACCCATACCCCTACATTTTTTAAAAAATACCCATTTTATCCTTATATATTTTAATATTTTATTATTTTTTTCACTTTTTATATTTTTCAGTCTTCCGAAAAATTCATCCCACGATCTATCGGAACACTTTGAAGATGACTTCTGGTAGGCATTTTTTCTCAAACCGGAAGACTTGGAGAAAGAGTTCTGGTTCACAAAAATACTGTACCGGAAGACTTCAGAAAAGACTTCCGGTGTGTTAATTTTCGTGAATGTTCACCGGAAGACTTGTAAAAAGTCTTCCGGTTTGTTTTTTAGCTACCGGAACACTTGCTACAAGTCTTCCGGTTTGTTTTTTTGCTACCGGAACACTTGTAGCAAGTGTTCCGGTTTGAGATTTTTTTTTAATTTTTTTTGAATTTTTTTTATGTAATCATTTCAGAAATTCCTTTACAAATATGCAATAAAGATCCGATATCCGTAGATACGTCTGATGTTTTTTCAACAACTCAGAGATTTGGTACACGAGAAGAGGTTTCAGACATTCCTTTACAAATTTGTGATAAAGATCAGATATGCGTAGATACGTCTGATGTTTTTTCAACAACTCAAAGATTTGGTACACGAGAAGAGGTAATAAGATGGATTAAAGAGATCGGAATCCGAAATAAAGTTATGGTTATCATCACTCGTTCAGATATTAAAACAGACAAGAGAGGAAGAAGTAACAAATTAATATTTGGATGTGATAAAGGAGGAAAACACAGAGATATTGGTAGTGGTACCTAGAGTGCGACGAAAAAATGTGGATGTCCATTTAGTATCAGATCAATTCCAGCGGCTGATGGATCTGGATGGAAGATTGACAAAAATGTGGAGTTCATAACCATGGTTTACCTGATAGATTAGAAGGTCACACATTTGTCGGTAGGTTGACAGCTGATCAGAAGCAACATGTTGTTGATTTGACAAAGAGAAAGGTTCCACCTAGACATATATTGCTTTCATTGCAAGAGCAAGATCCAGATAATGTCACTCGGATCACACAAATATACAAACAGAAGAGTATGATAGAAAAAAATATAAGAGGTCCTAGAAGTGAGATACAACATTTGTTTAAGCTTATTGAGGAAGCAGGTTATGTTTATTGGAGTAGAAAAAGAGACGACTCTGAAGTAATTAGAGATATCTTTTGGGCTCATCCAGATTCAGTTAAGTTGTTGAATATTTTTCCTATTGTGCTAGTTATGGACAGCACTTACAAGACAAACAAATATGGGTAACCTCTGTTTGAAATAGTTGGCATGACATCAACCGAGTTGACTTTTTCTGTCGCATTTGCCTATATTGAGTCTGAGCGAACTGAGACTTTTTGTTGGGTGCTAGATAAGCTTAAACAATTGTTTGTGAAGAAAGAGTTGTGTCCACAAGTGATTTTGACAGATAGAGATCTTGCTTTGATGAAAGCCATTGAAATTGTGTTTCCAAGGTCGATCAATATGCTATGTCGATTTCATATTAACAAGAATGTTGGTGCAAAACGGAAACAATATGTGGCTAGTGACATGCAAAAGAAAATTGACGAGTTATGGACGGATGTTGTATGGGCTAGTGATGAGGTTGAGTATGATCAAAGGTTGAGCCAACTTGAGCAGGCGTGTGTTGATTGTAATGAATTTATTGATTATGTGAAGGATACATGGTTGACACCACATAGACAAAGATTTGTTGGAGCATGGATTAATCGAGTGCTACATTTGGGTAACACTACGACTAATCGGTATGTATTTATTTTTAGTATTTATAAATTGTATTTTTTTTTTTGAATTTTTTTTAAAATATTTAAAATATGTATTAATTTTAGGGTTGAGTCTGCTCATTGGAAGTTAAAGCAAATGTTGGGGAACAGTATTGGTGACATGGTCAAATGTTGGGAGGCTATGAATGACAACTTAAAGTTACAATTGAGTAATATTAGAGCTTCTTTTCAAAAGAGTTTTTATGAAGTTGAGCACGCCCACGTAAGTCCATTTTACAATAATTTACGTGGTTCAGTGTCTCGAGAAGCATTGAGACGCATTGCTGAAGAGTTAAAACGAGTTGATTATGTTGGAACTAACAAGGAAATATGTCGTTGTACTCTTAGAACAACCTACGGATTACATTGTGCTTGTGAGTTGACAGGATATAGAATTGATGGTTTACCGATACCAATAGATGTTGTACATGTTCATTGGAGAAAACTAAGTATGGAAGTTAAGTTGGACGAAGATGTAGATGATGGATCAGAGGTGGATATGAGTAGTGCAATAGATGAGTTATGGAAAAGGTTTAAGTCACTGGATGTTGTTGGGAAAAGGGCATTAAAAAGTAGGGTTTTTGAACTTGCCTTCCCTATAATGACTTCTATGTGTCCACCACCTGAGAAAATAAAAACTAAAGGGGGAGTCAAGAAGAAAGACAAAAAACCAGTAGGATATGATGTTTATAGAGACCCTTCGTATCACGAGTATGTTGATCAAGCATCTCAATCTTCACAGAAGCAATTTCAACCATCACAAACTTCGAAGAAATTGAAATTATCACAGTCTTCACAAAAGAAATCTCAACCAGCACATGCTTCGAAAAAGTTGAAATTATCACAATCTTCACAGTCATCTAAGCAGTTCATCCTTCAATTTCCTAATCACATCAGGTCATATATTGATGATGTAGTTAATGTTGTATCAGATGGTAATTGTGGATTCCGAGTCATTGCTTCATTGCATGGATATGGTTAAGATGGTTGGCCGATGGTTCGTCGAGACTTGGGGTTGGAAATAATACATAATGAAAGATCAAGTTTGTATGTCAATTTATTTACTGATTAGTTAGCAGTAGTGAGAGAATCTTTGATGATAGAGGAAGTTGGTCCTCAGCCACCACATAAATGGTTAACTCTACCAGATATGGGTTACGTGATAGCGAATCGTTATAATGTTGTACTTGTCTGTTTAGGAATTGAATGCTGGACTTTCTTCCCTATGACATCTTCATTTTCACCGAATGTAGCAATTTACTGCATTGGTTTTGTAAATAGAAATCATTGGGTTCAGGTACTTAGTTGTTTTTAGATAATGCGATTAAACCTAATTCTTTTTCGTTATTTTTACTTAATATTGTGAGTTATTTTTTTATTTAGGTAAACATGAAAGCAGGGTTTCCATTGCCACCAGTGGCAGTAGATTGGAAGAAGTTTCGTTCTCCAGCAGCAACATCTTGGATGATAGGATTTGTAGGACGTCTAGAACATTGGCAACAACTTACGCCTATATTACCAACGCATTTTGAATTATAAATTATGTTACTCATTTTTAATTTTAAAACAAAAATCGTGAATTATGTTACTCGTTTTTAATTGCAAAACATGAATCGTGAATTATGTTACTCATTTTTAATTACAAAACATGAATCGTGAATTATGTTACTCGTTTTTAATTGCAAAACATGAATCGTGAATCACGTTACTCGTTTTTAATTGCAAAACATGAATTGTGAATTATATTAACACATAAACATAAACTAAATAGGTCAAATTAGTCTAAAAGTTAACACATGAACATAAACCAATTAGGTCAAATCTGTCTAAAGGTTATCATATAATCATAAATATAAATAAAAGTCACTGTGATAGACCAAGATGTAAAGCTTCGAACAAATCAGCAAACTGTGGGTCATCCTCTTCAGCACCAGTCTGCTGAAGATAACGATGTATCAATGAAGACATACGAGCCGCTATAGGATCAGATGGTCCTGCTTTGTATACAAGAACTGACATCTCTGTTGTCGCATCAACACTGAGCGGTACCAGACGAGGATGCGAAACACGATAATACCACTCAAGATACCCATCATCTGTCTCATATGGGGGGTGGCCGGCGCTGTCGGACGAATCACATTCTGAACGCTCTGATGGTAACTAATCCAGTCAACATCAATATCACCCGCCGTTCGAGAATCAAGAGGTGGATGTGGAACATACTACCTGTATCCAAACTGACGCAAACATCTGTCGGGCATGTATGGAACAATAATGTCACCCTACCTCAGACACCCCCTATAGAGGCATAACTCATCAAACTGGCGCCATACTCTATGATTCTCGAATGGGCACCATATGACATCAGCAGGTGTCAGCTCGTCCAGAATAGGCCGCAATTCATCCACCTTCAAGGTACCTTGTCTATATGACCATCTCATCGCTCGTGGGAGACCCACATTATTAGCTGGTATCCAGTTCTCTCCTCTTTTTCCAAGTGTGGGAAAATACTCATGAATCCAGCACTGTTACAAAATGTAAAATAATTAATTATAACATAATAAACTAGATAAATAAAATTAATATACTAGATAAAATTAATTAAAACAAAATATACTAAATTAAAATAAATACCTGTAGGAGAGTCGGATAACCACCAAGCTGCTTACAGCTAAACATGGAAGCATCTCCGAGATATCGGTAAAGAGTAACCAACGCAGCTGCTGCCCAACTGTATCCTAATAAGCCATCCAAGTCTATAAACAGTGACAGGTATCGTGCCTCGACAAGCGTAAACGTCTTGTCCGCAAAAATAGTGGAACCCACTAACATCAGCAAATAAGCTCTAGTGGCATAATCCCATCGATATGCAGCTCTGTGCTCTACGAACCGATCATATAACCACTCCAACTTATAGTAGGAACCCCTGCACTCACGGACTTATTGCTGTGCTATTTTATGTGACACTCCCAAATAATCAACAGCCCACTCAACAGCAAGCGCTTCACTGATATCTGGAGGGTTCCAGAAAACTCCCCTGATGGGCAAGTGAAGTAGGCAAGATACGTCATCTAGAGTAATCGTCATCTCACCAAACGGCATGTGAAATGAAGATGTCTCTAGATGTCACCTCTCTGCAAAAGCGGAAACTAGGTTTGTGTCTATCTTTGTTAAACTGGTTCTCTGAAGTGAAGCTAGACCAGACCTAGATATCCAGCTCTCCATCTCTCTGGGTAACTATAGTGGAACCCTTTGAGTCAACTTTATCCCATGTCCCGCCACCTTTACCTCTTTCTTCGACCCTCTCTCCTGGAAAAAATTAAAAGTAAAAATATTATAAAATTCAATATTAAAAATTCGAATTCTATTCAATATTAAATAATTTTCGTTTACTTACCTCACAAAACCATATACGGTATGCAACATGTTGTTCGTATTTAACTAACAGAGACGTATCATACGGTCCTCCGGGATATCCAACCGGCTCGGATGCTGATGTTGATGCTGATGCATCAAAATGTTCTTCTTCAGCCATCCTCGATGACTCGCCTCGTCCTAGTCCACGAGGGATCCTACCATCTCTGCCTCTTGTGCGCACCACTGGAAAAAAAAATCAATATAATTAAAAATTAAAAAAATAAATAAATAAATAAAATTAGAAAACAAAAATAACAAAAATTAAAAAATAAAAAAGCAATGAACCGGAAGTCTTTCTTTGAAGACTTCCGGAGTTGAAACGATGCATTAACAGAACCGGATGTCTTTAGGAAAGACTTCCGGTGTGTAAACTAAATTATTTTCTGAACCGGAAGTCTTCAAAAAAGAGTTCCGGTGAGCAACCTAAAAATTTTGTTTTTCGGAAGTCTTACTCTTAGTGTTCCGGTATGTAGTTCAAATGAAATGTGTTCCGGAAGTGTTTGGGAAAGAGTTCCGGTATGTATCAAAATTTGGAGAGTTCCGGTAGTCTCAAAATGGAAAGTGAGAAATAGAAGTGAAAAATGAAAAAAATGTAAGATTATAAATTTACTAAGGGTATTTTGGTCCAAATTTTTTGAGTGTAGGGGTGTAGGTATAAGGGTAGGGGTATAAGGTAAAACTTCCTTGTGCTTAACCTGGTTTTCTTCACCTGATACAATCAATTTGTTTTTTTGGGATCGTGTGGTCTTGGGCTTTAAGCCCGTTTTTTTATTTATTCACTACACCCTTTTTTTATCAAACCGTATCCTTTTTATTAGGATGAATGGGCCTTGGCCCATGATGATTCCCTAACTTCTACTCACCACCCTTCAATTCTCAATATCCCTATTTCTTGAACACCCCCATCTCATTTTGTTTTTAATTTCTAGTTTTTTTAATGGGAAGTCTTTTATTTATTTTGTTTTGGTAAACTTTTTACTAAAGAATTTAATATTTGTTGTTAAATTACTGTTGATTTTATCTAGAAAATTGCTTGCTTTTTCTCCATTTTGATTTCATTTTAGTTTTATTCAACATTTTTAGGTCGATGAAGGAATCAAAAAAAGTCACCACTAGTCAAATTATTGATAAATGGTGATGAATATGAGTCCATTTCTTTTTTCTCTTTTCATTTTCTTCTACATCTTTCTCATCTCGTTTTTATTTTCATTTATCGATCGATGAAGTCTTTGGATTTGTAAACGTTAAATTATTGAAGTCGATAACCTTCATTATATCAAATCTATGGAAAATGATCATTGTGGTCATTTTCTATACTTTGGGATCGTGATAAGCTACCTTCGATTAATCGACACGAGTTTATGATTAAGACGAGATCCCCCTTTTTTTGGTCCGTGCGACACGATTAAATTGGAGAATGATCCTCAATATCATTCCTCTATCTTGTTTTTAGCACGAATATCAACTTGCGCGACCTCCTATAGTTTGACTTTCATCATAAGTCGAGCTACGACAGTTTAGCGCTACATTTCGTCCTGATTCAATTCACAAATTAGCTAACAACTAATTTTACTTTCCGTCAATATACAATTGTTTTATTTTCAGTCAAATACACCCTTGATTTAATTCCAGTCATTATCATCTCGATTTATATTATCTTGTTCATATACTTGTTAATATTTATCTTGACTATATTATTATGGATATTATCTTGATTATATTATATATCTTGTCATATTATTTATAATTGTTTATATTGTACATACTCATATTGTTCATCTCCTATTCATATTATATTCAAAAACACATAAAAATTATCGAAACCTAAAAGCCTAAATTGGTGGACTGTTGGTTATTTGTCCGAGCAACAAATTATTGGACTTTTTTCAGAAACCCTAGCAAGGGGATTTTGTACGAATTTTGCTCGAGGCATAGTTTAGGTCACTTTGCACACACACGGCTTTCTCTTGGGCTACCTTACAACGAGACCATTTATTTCATGCAATCCTGTGTAACTTACATGTACCCCTCTCCCATTTCAATGTACGCATTCGTATTTCTTTGATTATGGTTTATCTTATAGGAGCACCCTTATGGACTAGCATAGACTAAATTGTTTTCAAACTAATTCTCGATTCGTCATCGAGCCATTTTCAAACACCCCATGTAAGCCGAGTGCTCGTCCGCATTCGCTATCAACCTATCGCACGCATTTTCACATTTCACCGTGGTTTCGATATTGGGGGCACCCTCAAGGACTAGTATCGTTTCTCACAACTTAACCCTTGATTTGTCGTCAAGCCAGTTCCATTTTCACTCAAACTATCGACTCGTCGTCGATCCATTTTCAAAATAACTTCCGTTCCAACACGTTCTTGCACGCAAATATGAGTCAATTCCTTTATTTAATGTCAAACGGTATTTTAAACCAAGTTGTAAGTCGAGTGCCTTTTGCCTCGCAGTTCACCACTTTTCGCAACGTATTCAATCCAATCTTTTTACAAATGTTTTTTTTAATAAATAATGAAAGAAGAAGATTCTTGGAGTCTAGCATTCCTCGAATCTTCGAATGAATGGCTCTTGAAGCGCATGTTTTGGGTTGTCCTTCATTCATCCTTTCGTCTTAAAGCACCTAATTCTTTTTTTTGCAATCAAACTTACGAAATAAAGATGTTCTTGGAGTCTAGCATTCCTTAAATACTCGAATGTATAGCTTTCGAGGCGCGCGCCCCTTGAGTTGTTATTCATTCAATCTTTCGAATTCAAAACATTTAACCCGTTCTCCTACCTTATTTTCTATCAACTCCCGAAAGAACTGAGTTATTGGAATCTCGCATTCCTTGAAATCTTGAGTGACATCTCTCGAGGCACGCCCCTTGGGTTGTTTTTCAGTCAATCTTTCGTTTCCAAATCAAAACTTCAAACTCAATTCAACCTTTCATCTTTTCGTGGTCGTCTCCACGAACTACGGACGCTCTGATTCTTTATTCTCGTTTGAATGTAAGATACGTAGGCACAAGATTGCAATGATCTTGGCGAGCACCCTATTCTATAACCATCAATTTCCCCTTAGCATCTTTATCCTTTTATCCTACCAATTCACATTTTACCGTTGAGAAGAA